TTATTTTTTATAAGAGCTTTATAATAGTTTTTAAGCTAAAAAAAAGTCAGGCCAAACATGCTCTTAGTCCCATTGTCACTTCTAAGTTTTTTTACAGTCAACCTTACTTGATTTTCAACTAAGGTTTTAAACTTGGTAAACATACTTAAAGCACCAGACTTCATTTTCATGAAATATACCCAGCAAAACCTTGAATATTCATCAATAAAAAGTATGGAGTACTTACTACCATTCAGTGATGGAGTCTTCATAAGACCTCTAAGATTAGTATGTATCAACTGCAGTCCTTTTGTTGCCCTCTAGATACTAGTTTTTGGAAAAGGTACTCTTCTTTGCTTCCCATACTGACACATTTCACAAATCTTCTTGATATTTATCGTTAAAGGTAACCCATCCACTAAGTTGTCAAAGGCCATTAGCTTGAATGAACCATAGTTCACATGACCAAACATGCTGTGCCACATCTCAGTATCAAATAAAATGCAGTTATAAGCAGTGTGCTTTATATCCATCCAACTTAGTTGAAAGCATTTGTTCCACATTCCCATTGTGAGGAGTTTTACTCCAATTGAATCTTTTACTATGCAACCTTTGTCTTTGAAGGTTAACTCGAAGCCCTCATCCACCAATTGGCCTACACTCAGGAAGTTTTCACTTACATCAAGAGCAAAATAGACATTTGCCACTAATTTAGTCCCACTAGGTGTTTGCACCCCCATTGTACCAGTTCCACATATTAATAACGTATCACCATTTCCAATCTCCATTTGAGCTTTAAAACCTTCATTAAAACTAATGAAATTTTCTTTGCAACTAGTTATGTGGTTCAAATAGTCACTATCCAGCAACCAGGTGTCTTTCTTCTTTTCAATATCAATCTTCTTGACCATAAATAGGACTTCTTCATCTGCTTGAAGCTTTAAACAACAACAGCTTTCTCTTAAACAATTTTACCTTTACTTTTGCGGACTTTTTCCACATGACCTTGCTAATGACATCTCCTGCACTTGACATTTGGTCTAAACTAGCAAAACTTCTCTATATGATTTTTTTTTTTGCAATGAAAGCATGGTAGAAATGACTTCTTACTTTCTCCATGTCTCTTTTCATCTACCTTTTTCCCTTTTTCTTTCTTGTCAGCTTCATGCTTCCTAGAATTATTGCTAGCTTCACATTCTTTGTTTTCACAGCCAAGGCTTTCTCAATAAGACCTCTCTACCTAATGGCTCTACTCTACTCTAAGCCTTTTAGTGCATTCACCAATTCCTTCAAAGTCATCTAACTAATATCCTTAGAATCCTCCAATGATGAGATTTTAGACTCATATTTCTCTGGTAATCCTACCAGCATCTTGCTCACTAATCTTTCCTCAGACATCTCCTTTCTCAGCAACTTGAGTTGGTTAACTATCCCCATCATTTTTTCAGAAAATTCTCTAATTGTCTCACTCTCATCCATGGTTAACATCTCAAATTGCTTGTTCAAATTTAATGCCTAGATTTTTCTGGTTTTATTACTACCCTGAAATTCTTTCTTTAAATTATCCCAAACTTCTTTAAGATTGTCTAGATGCATAGTCCTAGCAAAAATTTCATTAGACACTGCAGATTGCAAGCAAGAAAAAGCCTTATACCATTTTGCCTTGTCTTCTTCAAATTCCTTAATCTGAGTCAAGGTGGGATTAACATGTCGTTGCACTGGTTCAATCCCAATCTCCACCACCTTCCAAAGATTGAAGGCTTTGAGATAAGACTGCATCTTTACTGACCAGAAAATATAATTTTCTACAATAAATACCAAAGGAGCTGACGTGCTAAAACCAATTGTAGCCATGATCCAAAACAGAGACAACAAATAGGAAATAGATGATGGATAATAATAAGCTAAAGAATAGACCCTTAAGATCAAATTTACAACCTTGATACCATGAAGAAAAATCTTAGAAAAAAGAAGAAAAATCAACAGAATAAGAGGACCATGGTTTTCAAAGAAAAACAGAGGAGCTGGGAAGGATTTTAAGAGATTAAAACAAAATATTTGAGAAGCCTAAATTTTGCTCATTTTTGCATTGAAATATATATAAGACAGTAACAACCATTTCCTGATAAATTGGCCTTGGAAAGAGAAAAAAACAACTTAAAAAAAAAAAAAGCTGAGCACAGGATTCCAAACATGGAATTCTGTGCTTTCCAATGGCTAAACAAACAGCTAAAAAGAAAGGAGAAAAAACAGACTCCAACACGTGGCTTTTCAACCGTAAAACCAAAATGTCATAAACTAAGGCGTTTAAGCCAACATTAACATGAAGGTAAAACGACACACTCAAGGGTGCTTTAGTAGCACATTAAAACCAGGGCAGAACGACGCCATTTCCTATCTTCTCCTTTAATTCAACTAGTTGTAGACTGGTGCCAAAATCTTCTTCATCTTCTTTACCAGCATCACCGCAAATTCAACAGTTTTTTTGTGACATTCTGGGCTGTTTTTAGCACTTTGGTAATAAAGAAATCTATCAGGAGTGTGTTCTTTCGGTTCTTGGATGAGGTGATGGATAAGTTACACTCTTTGCACTGATTGCCATTAACGTGGCTTGTTTCTAAAGCAAAAATGTGATGGAGAGAAATTAAGATTGATTGTAAAGAAAGGTAAAGTATTTGCTCCTTCTGCTTTTCTACTCGATAGATACCTGTAAACATGCTATCCATTTGATTAATGATATTAATTTCGTGAGTAAATTGATGGATAGAATCGAGTGTTTAATTTTAAATTTTTAAAATTTAGATATCAAATTGAAAATTTAACTATAACTCAAATACTAAATGGTTAATGAATCCTTGTTTGATTATAACTCATAAATTATTGTCTCCATTGTTAATAATTTTAAAATTAAATGTATATAGGTAGTAATTAATTTAATTTTTTTAGTATAATATGAAACACGATTTACGATATCATCTCAACTTTATCATGCACGCAAATAAAAAAAAATAAACAAACAAATATAGAGAATGTTTATCATATTGAATCATGTTTATAAAAACATTAATTACATGTTAAGTATGTCCTATGGGCTATGTTTTCATCTTGAAGACAAGAGAAGGGAAATTTACCTTCGCTCAAAGTTTAAACGTGTGATAAAAAACGCAAAAAGAGAGGAAAAAATTAAGGGATAGAAGAAGAGAACAAGTGCGGAAATAGGCAGGTGATCATGGCGAAACCCAAAATAATCCTCTAGCAAAGAAGCTATGGTTACGGTTTCAGTAAATACCATAATTTTATCATTCACATCTCCATATTGTGAAGTGAGCAAACAATTTAATGTCCAAGATGTAGGCATTGCATAATACAACCAGATCCACCACCTTGGAATTTTCTGCAGAGAAAATCAACAGAATCCAAGTAAAACATCTCAGCCGTGCTCTCTTTATTATGTCTCAGCATGTCAAGTTTTGGTCGTATCATTATGGTTTATAAAGGGTATTTCAGTATTGTGTTTGAGGATTATATAGCTTACCAGTTGAGGAATGAGAAAGCCAGAGAAAAGATTAAGCATTGGGTAGCAGACAGAGGTTAAAGCTCCAGCTATTGCAACATCTGGTGTCAATGAGACAAGCAGCATTCCTAAAAAGTTGAAGTACAGCAGTGTCGAGAACATGGCATAGAAGTACCAAAACAACTTATATGCTGTCCCGTAGTACCCTATCATGCTGTATGTGATGATCACAAACACAATCGCTTGGCTAAATAGATAGGGAACCTCAATTGCCACCTGCAAAATCACTTGAGGGTCACGCATAAACTAAACTAATTGATTCATTCAAAAAAGAAATCAATAAACAAATCAACTTGTTATCAATTAAAATGTACCTGTGCAAGGGCATAAACCCACGAAGAGTACATCCCTGCAAATCTTTCTCGGTACATAACAATTCTCTCTGTTGCCACAAATGGTTGAACAGAAGAGCCACTATTTGTTCCTAGGAAAATCACAGCGGCATACATTGAACCAAACATGTTGAATAAATTCTGCTGGTTAGTTCTGCGGAATTCAAGAAGGGGTTAACTGTCTGCAACATTACTACCCATAAAAATAACGATTCCTTTACAAATTTGGCGGACTTACATTTTCGTTCCCTGGTTCCAAAACAGTGTACCTAAGGTAAAAGATATTACAGTAGTATGCAAGAGACGCATCAAGTTGTATGAAGGACTTCTCCAATAAGATAAATGTAGTTTCCATAGGCAATATTTGAACTGTCCCCAACAATTTTGGGAAAATCGGGTTGGGAAATGCACATCTCTTGAATTAGGAGGTGGAGCATTCAAGTGCCTTACAAGCTCTTTGTTGCTCCTACCAAAAAAAAAGTTCATTTGCAAGTTTAAAAATATCCTCAAACACGATGGCTTCTCCACTAGTTAAAACATCCTAGCTATTTGATAATATGCCATTAGTTAATTGAAAAAAAAAAGCTATAAAATTATGAATGAGATCATTACACAATGGAACCAAATAATTGGCACATGGAACATTTTTAACTGAACCTGTTACCATTCTTTTCAAGTAACAAAATGAATAAGATCGGCAAATGGATGAGAACAGACTCCTTGGTTCCTGGTTCAACTTAGCAAGATATTAGAATCACTGACTGTTCTAATTAAACTTACTCATATAGGGCAGAATTCTTGTAAATTTTGGCAAAATCAATTCCAAGCTCAGCCTCAACAGAAGTTGAAGTGACCTCTAGCATCCATGTTGCTGGGTTACAATTATCTTTAATTTTGGGCACCCCAGGTATACTCTGTCAGTAAGAAATCGAAGAATAGAAGACAAGTAAAAATCATCTTTCAGAAGCAAATTTGTTTAGACTATATTTAACGGGGAACGGAAAGGGAAACAGACCTCAAAATATTCTATAACCCTGCTTGAATGCTGTCCTAATGGTCCAAAGTAGATTAAACTCCCACCAGTTTTCAGAAAAATCAACTGCAATGAGAATAACAAGAATATGAAAGAGAACTCTTGTTTTGAACTTGCTTATGATAGCAAGAAAACAATGATCCAAAGAATTCAAGCCTCAAAAATGGATTTTAACCTCATCAAATGCTTCAAATATGTCAATGCTCGGTTGGTGGATCGTGCAAACAATTGTTCTGCCTGTATCAGCTACATTCTTCACTGCACGCATGACAATGGCTGCAGCTCTTGCATCCAAACTTGAGGTAGGTTCATCCATGAAAATTATGGAAGGATTAGCAACGAGTTCCACAGCTATTGTAAGCCGTTTACGTTGCTCAGTTGATAGACCACTATGACCAGGTATGCCAACTAAAGCATCCTTGACTTCATCAAGTTCAATGGTCTCAATAACTTCTTTCACAAATTCCTACAAAATCCATTAAAGCAGCTTTAAGACAAATTATCTCAAATTTTGATAGCAAAATATTAGCAATTCTTGAGCCTTTGGAGTCTTACCGTTTTAATTTTTGAGTCGATACAAGCAGGAAGACGCAGCCAAGCAGAAAAAATCAAAGATTCTTTTACTGTGATTTGTGGAGAATGTATATCAGTTTGTTCACAATAGCCTGATATCCTTGCAAACGTTTCTTGAACCTTAGGGTAACCACCAACTCTGATTTCCCCTTCTATGCAGCCTATAGTTTTTCTTCCTGCAAGAACATCAAGAAGAGTAGTTTTTCCTGCTCCGCTAGGACCCATCAGTGCTGTCAGAACACCAGGCCTAACCACTCCTGTAATATCTGAAAGGAGTTGAAGAGTCTTCTGAGAATATCCTTGTTTTCTCATTTCCTAAGAACAAATAGAAAATAATGCACCAATGATCAATCAGTGTTGTTTCATCCAATGGCTCATTAGTCATGATATTTAGCAATTGTTGATGAATTCTTAGGTTCACATCTCACCAGTCACCTCAAATGAGTTCCTTCTGACTTAAAAACTTATGTTAGAGTTTGTCCATGGTTATATGTAAGTTGATTATGCATGTGTGTGAGTGAGAGAGAGAGAAAGTGATCTATGACTTCAAATTTATACAAAGGGCGGATTTATGTGATTACCGGAGGTGTGTCAACATAGTATTGCACATTCTGAAATGTTAATGTTGAGGGATCAAAAGGTAATACCATCCTCCCTGTGATAGAGACAAAGCAAACATGAATATGGTTCAAATAAGCTTTCAAAAAGCACTGAGTTGAGGAAATAAAGAAAACGAATGAACCTTTAATAGATTCTTCTTTATTACAGGAATGTGAAGAGTTAGACACATTTTCCCCATATGCATCATTAAGAGAATCTCTTTTCCTCATTTTGGAAAGCCTTTCATGTGAAATAACAACTCGAGAAGATCCAGGGGCTGAATATGTTTAAACGAGTGAAAATGAATAACCATGTATTTCTCTTCTTCTTGAGCTACAATGAAGCAAAATGGGAAACTGAACAAGATGAAAATGAACCTACGCTTCAAGAAACTTAAGGCTAAAATAAATCCAATGTTCCAAATTAAAGCAATCCCAAGTAAGGCACCAAATGATATCCAGAAAAAATATTCATCAAAGTAAAATCCATGGCTTGTTAGTGTCTCTTTTCCAATTGTAGCATTCATTGCTTGGACCTGCAAAATAAACAAACAATCAGAGGCACACACTGGGCAGATTACAATGAGAAACAGATTATATCCTTAAGAGGAATGAGAAAAATGAATGAAGTTAGAAGCATGGATTCAAATCTCAGAGGATCTCCCTTTTGTCTCTTTGTTCAAATACAGGTCATTTCATTGTGGGAAAGGGTCTAGTCGGATTCAGAGCCATACCCTGTAATAATCTAAGATTCTATTATGGTAGTGTTGTGGTCTAATAGATACCTATTTTTCTCTTAAAAAGTTAAGTTTTCTTTTCGAAAACTAGTTCGGGTGAAATTCGAAGTATAATTAGTAAGCATTCATGGAGTGAAGCATCTATTTTCTTTATATCTTGCCCTAATCTGCCCTTGAGAGCCTAGTCCATGTCATTGATATCTCTCACCAAATCTTAGAATTCTCATTGATAATTTTATAATTAGCTGCAAAATATTAACCAATATTATTGGATGTCAAGAGCTAAGATGTTGAAAATTGTTTGATGGAGAAAGTAATCAAACTTGCTGAAAACTGACTAACTAAAAATAAGCAGTGAATGGGAATAATTATGGTATGCCCTGGCAAATAAAATTACTTTGAGATCAATTACAAAAGTTTTGAAAGCAGGTGATTGGTATAATGAGTAATTAAGGGTTGGAAAATTAGAATATAATCAAATACCTTCTGCCATCGTGGAGCATGAAATTCATTGCCGGAAAGCCCTATCGTTGCGTATGTGATAGGGGAAACCCAGAATCCCCACCTCAACCAGCTTGGCATGGATGCTGCAACGAAGAAAATAGATTAAATCATCCTCTTTTACCATGCAATCCTGGAAACAAAATGGAGTGGAGATGAGAAGAACGTTACATTGTGGAATGATGAAGCCACAAAATATCAATTGGAAGAAAAGTATAAGAGCACCAACTGCTACAGAGCAATCCATAGTTTGGAAGACAGAGGCCAAGAAACGAAACATGGATGCCGATGATAGTTGCACAGCAAAATACATAGCGAACTGGCGGAAGAACCTGGAGAAGAGGACACAAGAAACCCTGAGCATAAATTCTTTACAGTGTAGTATTAGATGAAACTATTCCTAAGAAACTTACCTCCAAACTTGAGGGCTGTACCCCATGACATAATAAGTAAGAGATGTCCAAACCAGGGATTGAATAAATGAAATAGGAATCTTTAAAACAATAGCTGGAATTGCATAAGCCCAAGCTGGGTAAAAGCACAACATTTTCTGTTTATAGAAAATTGAGAGTCTTGAAACAGTCATGTGCAGCTCAGGAAACTCATCAACGATAAGTATCAAGAGTGCATAAAACAGTGCTCCTAGGTAGTAATTTGCATGAAGTATATCAACATTCATCCCAGTCCTGAGAAACATAGTCATTGTGACAAATGCAATGATAGCAAGCTGCCAAGAAAAAACAGGTGGTGAATGTTACTGTTATTTTTATTTTAATTACATCCACAAGCACAACTTATGTAAGAAACTAAATTAGTCTATCAGGTACATTATCTCCGATTTATGTTTCCAAATCAAAGCAGAAATCATAAAAACAAAATAAAATATAAAGCAAAGTCCTAACCTGAATTACTTTGAATATATAGAAAAATGAGTTCCTGCTCATGAGGAGAAGTTCTCTTGACATGCAAGCTTTAAAGATTTCCCATTTGGAAACAGAATACTCATTAAAGGAAAGAGCATTCTTATTACATTGAGATTTATCGTATGGTTCCAAAAGATCCTTGTCTATCATCTCCCCCAAAGGAGATGCTCTAAATTTCCTGGAGAACATATCAACAGAAATGAAGGAGTAGGGTAACTCGGTATTGTACCAGTACTGCGCTTGATCTTTCCTTGATATGACCTGCACAGTCAAAAAACCAAAGAACTTCATGTTGGAGAAATAAGACATACTCTGGCAAAAAAAGACAAAAAGAAATCATGAACTGGTTTTCACTTTCCTCTTGAAGGAAGTCTACAACCCCTTTCCTTTGAGGACATCTAAAGCCACAACTTTCAAAGAATTCGAGAATGTGATCACAAGGTCCATGATATAAAATTTTCCCTTCAGACATCAATATGATATCATCAAAGAGATCAAAGGTTTCTGGTGCAGGCTGAAGCAGTGAGACCAACAAAGTTGCATCTGTGACATGCACCAGCTGCTGAAGACAAGCAACAATTTGGAATGCTGTGGAACTGTCAAGTCCATTGGTTATTTCATCCATGAAAAGAGTTTTTATGGGGCCAACAATGATCTCGCCTGCGCAATTTGGATACAGTGTTTTGATGTTAAAATAAATCCCAGAAGAAGATTTAATTGCTAAATGCCACACTATGCAACATTAGTTCCAAGTATGAAGAAATTATTGAATTCCATTATTTGTCATTAAAACAACACTACCTGTAGTCAACCTTTTCTTCTGACCACCAGATATACCTCTTCTTAGGACATCTCCAACTATTGTTCCAGCACAAATATCAAGTCCAAGAATCTGCACAACAAGGAATTAAAAATAGAAGATCTTTCAGCAATAGCCTAAAAGAGCTAGCAGTTACAAGTTGTGCATTACGAAAGGAAGCAAGATTTAAGCTTGTCAACAAGAATTACTTTTAGTATATAGTCAGTTTGAAGAGTTCCTCTAAGCCCTTTCACAGATGTTGCCTGTATAACCAAAACATAGTTAATGGATATTATATATACATTATCTATCCAGGAGCATTAAGCAAGAACATTACTACATTTAAAAGTTCCTTTTTCTTAGCAAACAACAAAAATGCAGCTTCTCAAACTGGTATAGAGATCAAATCAGATTTATTGACTGGAAAAGGATGCTGGATGCTCAAGGTACCTTCATGTAAGTATCAATATCTGGATCTGGAACAATTCCTGCTTGCTTCTCCCTTTTGCCGACCTCCATTATAATCTCTTCATTACCATAAAACAGGTTTTCTTATCTTCATTGTTGGTAAACCATTTGGTGTCTAAGGCTAATTAAGTTACTAAATAATTAGGTTGAGCTGCAGGAAAATGTACCTTCTCGGTTTCCTAAACCCTGACAACGGGCTGAAAAGTCAAGTGTTTCCCTTACTGTCATCTCAGGAATGTGCAAGTCATCTTGACTTATATACGCTGATGTTTTCTGGGGAGCAAATGCTTCTAGTTTGTATCCATTGTAAGAAACTTCCCCAGTGACCTATTGAAAGCAAACAAGACCAAGAGTCTTCAAACCAGCAATCCTCTTATACAGAAAGATATTATATATACAAATGGGGGCATGCACTTATTGTCCTTGTGACCAAGATGATTAAATTAGGAACTATCACTTTATAATTTTATTATATTAATTTCAGGTAAAATCTGAATTAGAGGAACTGAAGTAAGTTTAACTTATATGATCAGGTAGTAGTTTTTCATTTCTACTGTAATTTCAAATCGAACTACGTCTCAGTGACCTTCGGGCTTCGACAAATTAGGCAATCATATATGCATTCATAAAACTAGGAAAAAAGGCAACGTAGATGATACGGTTACCACATACCTTAAGGGACTTGTTTAGATTCCCTGAAAGTGCCTTTAACAGCGAGGTCTTCCCACATCCTGGAGGACCAAGCAGCAAAGTCATCCTGCAGAAAGGCTGATCTCATTATTACTTCAACAAGTTTTATTTTTAAAAATACATATCCTCCTTCAATGGGAAGCAGTCTAACTAAGAAGAAAACTAAAGAAAGATATGATAGATCACAGTCAGAGCTAACTTAAAAGAAATAGTATACCTTCCAGGCTTTATGATGCCACTAATATTGTTAATAATGCTTATCTTTGCTTGTTTTGACTTTGAACGAAACAGCGTCACTGCAGGGTACTGCTCAAAAACAAAAGCCGAAGATAATATTATAGAGTATGCTGCATTGATCTTGAAAAAAACACTTTGGAAAATGCTACATCCTTTTTATACTTACAGAAAGCGTGCTTTGAAGATAGTTCCACAACGTCGGTAGAGGCTTCCCGTGAATCACATCGCATTCGGCTTCCACGCATAGATTTCTATATCTCACCTCCACCGTGGGCAATTTTACACCAACCCTGCAAAACCAGTATAGGTTATTCTTCGTTTAGGTGCCTTTCGCTCTTTGCTGTTTGATGACCTCTCCCCTCATATATCCCACCATTCAAAACCTGAAACTTTCTAGTTGGAGCCTCAAGTTTTAATCAGTGTCCTGATCATAGAAAATGAAATTAAAAAAAAAAAAAGTTCACCTGTCTAATCTTTTTCTAATCTTCTGCAACAACTGAAGGTTATCTTTCTCGATGTTTTTGATAAGCTTCTCTATGAAGATATGGCGTTCCTGATCTCCAAGCTTGCTAATATCCACCTGTGCATTTCCTTCACCAAAGGTTGCTACATTGGCATCATCTGTTGAAGAAGAACTTGATGTCATTGCCAACTCAACTCCTTGCAACTCCAACTGATCATTTTCACGGCCCATATTAGTCATATTCATCAAGATATATGATTCCAATACTTTCGACCTTGCAAAACTATCGGAGGAGTCGCATGTTTTAACCGTAAGGAAGAAGATGGACGAAGCTGCTGAAATTATATTGGGTTCTTTTCAAAAATACCCTTCATAAATAACGTGTTTTTTAAAATAATCTCTATAATTTTAATTATTTTTAGTAAAAAAAATTAATCTTAAATAAAATTACTTTTAATAAAATCAATTCATATGTTT